CCCAGCCCTGAATGCCCGTTGCACCTGTTGGCCTCGCCACTGGCGGGAGAGCCTGCCCAGCCGCTCAAGGGGGCATGTGTGCTGTGATTTGCGCTGCGGCGAGTGTTGCGCGATGGTGCCGGCAGCAAGCGCCCTGCCGTGCGCCTGGCCCTGCGCTGCCCGCCACCCCCCACGACATGCGCTGTCTATCCTCATTTGCACCGGCATTTCCTGCAAGCGCTCCGACCATGCCATCCTCCCCCTGCCTTGCCGGCACGCTTGGGGGCGCAGTAATTGCGCAGATGCCGGATGCTCCCGACCCCACTGCTCGCGTGTGCGCTTTCTCTCTTGAAGGTTGTCTGCAATAACGCCGCCGGCGCCGCGCTGTTACCCTGCAAGCCCGCGCACACACCACATGGCGACATCACAGCATACCGGATTGGCATCGACTGTGCACATTTCTCTGAGTTGGACCGACACTTGGCACCTTGCGCCTGAACCTGGATGTGGCTCCCGGCCGTAGAGCTGCGAAACCAAGGAGGAGGCCCTTGGCTGTGGATATTTGTGGGGCAATATGGGACGCACTTGACAGTGGGTTTGGTTCCAACCCGCACACAACCGCACACACCACACGCCATCTCTCCCCGGTACCCTCTGCTGCCTGTGGTGCCGTGATGGATGGAGGTGGGTGGGGTGTGCCCGGCGCCCCCTGCACCGCAGGGCGTTGCAGTCCTGCGGCCGTATCACCATTGCATTGCCAACTGATGTGTGTGACGGTTGCGCCGCCCGCACGCACGACCCGTGCATTGGAGGTGCTCAAGCGTCACGCGCCCTGGCACGCCAGCTGCTGCGTTGCGGGGTGTGGGGCGCTGGGAGTGGCCCTTGAACCTGGCCACGACTGCGGCTTTTCCTGGCCCAGGCAGCCGTGGTGCACTGCTCTTCACTGCTGCTGCTGCCGTGCTCCACTGCAGTAGGGGCTCTGCCTGCTGCGAGCGTGGTGGCAGGTTGGACCATGCGGGGGGAATGCCGTGAAAGTCACTCACCCGCCGCCGTTTTTACAGCGCCGCCTCTGTATGCACTTCACACCCATTTCACGCCTCCTCGCTCCGCATGGTTGTCGCTGTGCTGGGGCATGCCTGCCCCAGTTGGGGCGGCGGGTCCCATCCATGGCGCCGACTCTGTCGTCCATGCACACGCCCTGTCAGTGTCCAGCACCATCCACCTCCTTGTCTTGCCCGCGCCCCGGCGCCTGGCACCCCGGTTGATTCCCACGACGGCCGGCCTTTCTCAGGGGCGGCAGGCCTTTCTCAGCGGCAGCTGTCCGCATGTTGGCACCCCCGCTCGGGCCCATATGGCCACCCGACATATCACAATGCGTGCGAGCGGCCAGGGGCAGGCGCTCTCACTGCCGGCCCCCTCCCTATCACTCCACTCCCCCTTCCACCGTTATACCAGTGATGGGTTGGGGTGCTACCCTGTTGGCTGTGGGATTTGCTGGCGCACACACACCCTCGGCGCTCCATGCCCCTGGCCCCTGCTGAACACGGCTTGCATGGGTGTGGGGCCGCGCGCGGCTGCGCGTGCTCTCGCGCCGAAAAGAAATGGGATTGCCCTAGCACCTGCCCGCGAGGCGCACCTCCTCGCTGATGCATGCTTCGCGCGCTGGCATTCGCCCTGCTTTTCGTCGTTCCGAACAACTGCCAAAAAGAGAACTTGCGAGTTTGTTAAGCACGTGTCGCGGTCTGCTGCGTGCTGCGCGCCGTGCGCTTCCCCCGCACGCCGCCCTTTGCGCCCAAGAGCAATGGCCCTTCCCCTCGCACCCCCCCATCCTCAACTCCTGTTCCTTATTTGTGTTCAATGCAACGGTACCTGCCTGCGCCTCGCAGCGTGGGCGTCCACTCCCCCGTCCCTCATTTTATTCGGCCCTGAACCAAACTACTCCACGTTTCAGTCTCGTTGGAAGCCATTTAAAGGGGTGCTATCACCCCCTCTTCTGCGTTGACAGTATCTGCTGTGATGACACCCAGCAATTCGGGGGCACCACGGGCGCATGCTCCTGGTCCAACTCAGCCAATTTCAAAACCTGGCTTGACGGGCCTCACCTTATCATTCGGCAGCGGCGCCATCTGGCAGGCGCTGCAGCATTAACGGGGGCCCAGGCGGCTGTGTTGTCCCTGGCTGTGGCCCGCCCACGCCGCTCATGGCAGGGCCGTGGCGGGCGCAGCACGAACCTCCAGCTGCTGCCCGGGCACTGCCCGGGCAGAGCCCTGCGACCATCGCTGGGTGGGCTGGCGCGAGGTGGCTCAGCTTGCAATGGCTGCGCGCACACTGCAAAGGGCCCTCCTCCTGGGGCCAACCGTAATCCATCCCGCTACATCACACCGCAATGCGCCGCTGCTGGGGAGTTGAGGGGAAGAGCACCAGGGCGGGCTGGGCTTAGGCCTGGACGGCCGCGCCTGATATGTAATACACTTGAATATGTCTGCTGACGCCGCACAGCTGCAGCTCAAGCTGAGGCACCCTGAGGTGCAGCGGGAGGGCGAGGTGATGCTTGGAAATGCAGGGCGGACCCGGGATCAGGCGCAGCAGCTGGCTGGCCCCACAGCTTTCGGCGGTTTCACGGGCACCGGCCTCACCCGCCGCCTGCAATCAAGAGCGAAATGCTGTTCAGAGTGCTGCACACCATGCATGCACTCAGGGTGCCAAACGCTGACGGCTCGCGCCCTCCTGTCGCGCCGACCCCGCCCTCCCATGGACGGTTTTTGCAAGAGATAACGACAGCTTTACAAAAGCAAAAGAGACACAGCATGAACAGCAGAGCTTAAGGCACCAGCGCCAGCGCTACCCGCTGGCCTGGCGCCCGCAGCGTGAGGTCATAATGCACAACCCGGGATAGGAGAGAGGCAGGGTACAGCCAGAATAGCTGCAGTACTGGACTTCTATATAAATCTTGATGCCGCGTGCCAAGCGGCCACAGAGTGAGGGAGTTCACACTGCAAGGGACAGGTGGGCCCAGCAAGTAACGAGCCGGCTGCGCGGCGTGGGCGTCTGATCCCCGCTGGCGGCAGGGCCTGCTTGCCGTGCAAAAAAGCGGGGCCAGGTGGTTGTTGAAATTCAGCCAATCCTGGAGGGGGCCCCGTCGTCGGCGTGATGATATGGGCAGTACAAGGGACAGCAGCGACAAGAAACAGAGCCTGGCTGGGGCACAATCATGTGAGCCCGCACGCACAGTCAGAGCTGGCGGCAGGACTGGGGGCCCAGCGCCACCACACATACGCTAGATGCGTGTCGGAGCTAGCAAGTGTGACAGCAGGTGTGCGTGTGATCACTGGGCAGGTGAACCTTAGAGGTCAAGAGTGACGGCAGGAGAGGCAGAGCGGCGGTGCTCGGCATATGCAGCGTCGCGCCACACGATTGGGCTGCGCCCAGGCATGGACGGCCCGCCGCTGCTTCCCAGTGGACTGCTTGCCCTCGGCCCCGGGTGCAGCCGTCCCCTTCACTGGTTGAGCTGGTCCCCCCAGCGCGGCTCGTGGTCTGCGGTGGCGGCCTGCACAATCGCGCGGATCTGCGCCTCTGTCTGGGTGCAGGGCCGCGACGAGGCGAGGTAGCGGTCGTTCATTCGCAGGGCATCTGGCGGGAGGTCCGTCAGAAACCAGGGGTCCTGGGGGGGGAGATGGGAAGAAGAGGGGAAAGGGCGTCGCCGACAGTGGGCGACTTCAGGGCGAGGCGCGAGCGAGCTGTCGAGCGGCGCCGAAAGGGTTGGTCCGTCCTCCCCACCCCCTGCCTTTGCCAGCTGCTATGGAGTTACTCCTGCTCGTGTCCACCAACTGTCCCCTCACTGCAGCCCCCAATTTATGTCCGCTGCTGCCCGCCTGAAACTGCCCAACGCATTGTCGACCACAATCTCCTGCCAGCCCCTCTTGCCCCCCCTCCCCCCCACACACAAACACACACACACACACACACACTCTCCCATGAAAACACAAGGACCTGCTCGGGCACTGCTGCTCACACGTTTACCAGCATCTGCCTGCCCAACCCCCTGCCTCCACCCCCACAAGCACACACCTGCATGATCTCCTCCATCACAATGCGCGCGTTCTCATCCGGCTCCAGCAGCCGCCGCAGCAGGCTGACGCAGGGCGCGCTGAGGCCCAGGCTCTCTGGCAGCGCGTACTCCCGCGCCTTCATCTTGCGCAGCATGTTCACCACACCCTGCGCCAGGGCGTGGTCGTCCGCCGGGCTCTGGAACGGGTAGCGCCCCACCAGCCTGCGCGGTGCGCCGGCGGTGAGGGGTACGGGGG